AGGATGCCACAGTTACTTTCAGAAAATGAAGGACATACATTCATTCAGTAAACCAATGATCAGTTCAGTAAACAGCTTCTCATATGTACTCAGTATCAGAAGATAATTATTTGTGAACATGGATCTTTACAACAATCGTTACTCACCAGAGTTTGGGCTACGGTATGCTAGAGCGTGTCTCCCCATTCGCCAACCCTACCACAGTCACAGGTTGAAACACACACTAAGCTACACAGTGGGAATATCATAACTTAATCCCTAGTTTGCCTTGGTGTGTTCTACACGGTATCCTCATCTAAAATGTCTTAAACTTAGGCTAAAGAATGCCTAGGATGGAATGAGATGCAAAATACACTTAGAAAATTTTGAAAGTTTGCTGAAAAATAGGAAGCTTCCTCGAGCGAGACTTCTCGCTCGAGCGTAAGTCCAAAAATCAAAAGGCTTTCGCTCGACGCAGGAAATCCTTTCGCACTCGAGCGGTCTGCAAAAACTAAGTAAAATACTGGATGCTGAGATTTTACGCGCGAATCGCTGCGCTCGATGCATCGCTTCGGAGCGGAGCCCTGGGACAAAGTGTGCTCGCGTCGAGCGGGGAACTTCGCTCGAGCGGGAAGCCAAATCTGGAATTTCCAGATCTGCCTCCCAACTCAACCAAAGCATTCTACCACTTCCAAAACTCGACCTCTGGACCCAAATTCTGGAAACATCATTAAATTCAATGTATAACAAGGTTTCAAGTAATTATGAATTCAAGCCCCAAAGGTGAGTCAATTAAAACCACATTCAAACCCATTTTCAAGAACAACATTCAAACATGTCATGTATGAGTTTTAAACCAAATTAAATCTTCAAAGCTTGTTCAAATGGACTCATTTCTTCAAGAACATGATGAATTCATGGGGTATGACCAAAAGATGGACATGCATGTAACCTTTTGCCATGAAAACAACTCAAATATCTACATTACAAACATGCATGCATGAATGAGTTCCAAATCAACACAATGAACCAATTCTAGACTTGAATCACTAGAGGCTCAAGAATCTAACATGAATGAGCTCAAACACAACAAAGAGGGGTTGAATTCCTTACCTAGAGCTTTAGTTACAAGGTGAGGAAGTTAGATTTGCAATCTATGTTCCAATTCCTTCAATTTCCAAGCAATTCACAATGTAGAACTCAATTTCTCTCCCTCTCCCTCTCTTGGTCGGTTAAGCACAAGAAAATGGCTGAGCAAATGTGTTTTGATTCAAGTATAAGGCTCAAGTGTGTGTACATGAGATAGTGGCAAAATGGTAAATATGGCAAACTCTTTAATTGGCTTATTTTTAATCTAATTTAATCATACCTAATCAATTTTCAGATAAGTATACCATAAAATCACATTAATTCTAAGGATCATTAAACATCAATCGGTTTCTAATTCGGCCGCCGATAAGGCCTTCAATTAGCAGTTTAAACATATAAACATGAACAGATAATCAGACAATCAAACAGATAGAATGCAATTAACTAACATATACTCAGTCAATTCAGTTTCAATTTCAGTCAGTCAGTTCAGTATTTCATTCAGTTCGATTATCAGTCAGTTATCAGTTCCGTTTAGCAGTAATCGGTGATTATCGGTAATCGATCAGTCCTTAATCAGTAAACAGTATGAGGGTTGTTACACAAAGCCTCTATATGAGATTGTAAAATAAAAGTTAAATGGAAGTTAGCCAATAGAGATTTTCTTAATTGTTTAAAATTAAGAAAATAAAAAAAAAATAGTATGAGATATTGATCATAAGGCTTCTAAATAAGAATCTCATTTTGCTTATATAAATTAGAGTATAAGATTCATTTTATATAAGTGAAACAATTTACTTTTTCTTTCTTTTTTCGATGTAGGATTATAAAATAAAAGGTAAATGGAAGCTAGTCAATGAGAATTTTCTTAATTGTTTAAAATTAAAAAAAAAATCAATAATTTTAGAATGAGAGTTTGAAGCGCTTAGAAGGTTTCTCTCTAAAAATCTTATTTTCCTTATATAATATATAGATTTGAATTGTCACTCTCTAGTTTTTAAAATATACAACTAAATAATTTTTTAAATTATAAAAACTCTATTAAAAAATATATCTTTCAAAATTGATTTTAAAATCAAACCAAACGGATTCTTTTGGGTAAGGGAAGTATTTTTTTTGTTGGATCATATAAAAATGACATTTTTTTATTTTTCAATTATTAAGATTTTGGAGACTTATTATCCAATATGGGGACTAAAGCCATTGTTTGAATGGTCTACGACATGAGTCGGTCGGGTTTTTAGCTGTCATGACCGGACTAGCTAGTTGTAGGTCAATCAGTTTCTATAGGTAGAACCAAAGTATATCAATATCAAAGGACCAAAAAGAAGAGAATAAATTACTTGCTTACACTTTATAAAAAAAAAAAAAAAGATAGAACAACCTGCCTGCTTGCATTGCAGTCTGATTTAGAGAAAGGGAGAACAAATTACTTGCTAGTTCATTACATTCATATATAAAAACAAAGTGCATAAAAATAAAAATAAATAATAAAAAAAGTATACAATTTACTAGATTGGAAAGAAAAGAAAACAAAATTTAACTAGCCATGGTGTTTAAATTTGAATTTGGGGTGATTGTTATGCTTTATGCACGAGGTCACTATTGTGCAGTCAATAGGGTCCATTACGGGTATTATTTCAATAATCTGAATCATTCACGTTTTAGAGTATATTAAACAAAATATATCTGCAAAAAAAATCAAATTGATCGGATATCGATAACTTTTTCATCTAATTACATTTGTATTTTAAAAAAATGAATAGTTAACGTGATTTTGTGTATAAAACAGAATACAAATGTACTTAAATGAAAGGGCTACCAATAACCGATTAATTCAATTTTTCCAAGTATATTCTACTCAATATCTTTAAAAATTGAATGATTCGGATTATCAAAACAAGACCCGAAGTGAGCCCCAGTTAGCTGTACAACAGTGACTGTTGTGCTTTATGCACAATAGCTACGTATACCCATCTTCCTTAAAATTTGGCAACATTTGTCCTTCTGTTAGCATTTAACAGAATTAATCCATTGGCTAGAGCTCTTAAAGTGTACTGAGAGGTTAAGAGTTCGACTCTTTCCACCTACAGGAGGGTTGTATTACCCTTGCAATCATTTGGGATATCTCTCTCCTTCTTCGGGAGTTTATTTGTAGTTATCTATGCTATAATTGTTGATTCAAATTACGTCAATGTATTGAGATACATTGTAAATTTTTTTTAAAGAGTAATTACACTGATGGTCCTCAAAGCATACATTACGTTACATTTTAAATCTCAATATTTTAATTGTTCTATTTCAAGTCTCAAAGTATACGATTTGTTACACTGTAATTCTTGATGTCAACACCAATCAAAATGAGCAAAAAAAGTGATATTTATAAAATTTTACATGAAATTACAACAAAATTAAAATGATCAATAATGAGGAGCCTAATAGATATGACTTGGTGATTCTACTCCCCGTCGATGCTTGACTTTAGAAAGAAAAATAAATTATATTAATTTGATGTGTCTAAATAAAATAATAATATTAGGTTGTTTTACAACACACATTTTTTTTTTTTTTAAAGTATATATTATATGTAAGATATGTCATCTATATCATAAATATTATAACTAAATTACTTTTATATTCAAAATTAAAAATAATATAATGGATCATGATCAAATATCACTTATGACATGATTATGACTTTTTCGATTATGACCAAAATAATAATTATAATAAGTTATAGCACTACAACAAAGGATGGTTTTAAAAACAAAAATTTAGGGATAAAATCACTTTTTAGATACGTAATATTTTTTTGGGGGGGTCAAAAATAGCATTATTGTTTTTTTAGAGACAAAATTAGACATTTAGTAATAACTTATTATTTTTTTGGGACCTGAATTTTATCTAAAAAATGATTGTCCCTTAAAATGTATCTATCAGCAACAATTTTATAATTTTATTGCTAAAACTCTTTTTCTTTTTTTTTTTTTTTCTTTTTTTTTTTTTTTTTTTTTTTTTTTTTAAATTTGACCTTTTAGCAATTGTTATCGTGACAACACAAATTGGTCCTTAAATGTTTTTTGCAACAATTTTTTTATATTTTGAAACAAAAATTTAATCTTTAAAACTCTCATTTGTTATAGTATAACCAACTTTACAACATAACTAAGGATCATAACCAAAGACTAATTGAGGCATAATCAAATACCTCAGACATAACTAAAATAAAACAAGAAGTGATTATAATCAAATTATAATTTACATTACAATTAGTCATAGTTAACTAATACCAGAACAAATAATAATCAAAAACTACAAAAAAAACATAACTAGACACGTGTTATAGAATTTTTCCGACTAATACCCACTTACACTTGTGATTGTAATAGATACATCTTAACTTGTCCACTAGGGATTCTAATATAATCTGTAGCTGTATGGTTATTTATATAGGGAACTTCTAAATTATTAAAAAAATATATGATTTTTATCTTTAAATTATAAAAGTGTACAGATGAACCCTAAATTATTGTGAAATGTCACTTTGTCCCATAAATTATAAAGGCATATAGATAAACCTCTTAAATTATAAAAACGGTACAAATTGGACCCCTAACAAAAAGGCTCAGATTGAAACACGTCCATAGTCTATAAAACTGTACAAATTAAACCCCTAACGAAAGGGATGCCAATAGTTTAGGAGTCTGTTTGTACCCTTTTATAATTTAAGGAACAAAGTAATTCTTCACAATAATTTAGGGAATCTATTTACACGCTTTTATAACTTAGGAAGTCAAAATGATATTTTTCAATAATTTAGGAGATCATGGTGTAAATAATCCCAGCTGAAATTATTGGTTATATTTCCGCATTATTTGATAACACTCTTCTATTTTGCGAATAAAAACAAGAGACAAAACAATACAAAGGTATCTCCGACCAGGGAACAGAAGTTGCATTTTTTTTGTTTAATGGTAAAAGGCCGAATTTTGAGGCAAACTGACAAAAATATTACCCTTTTTTTATAGGGCATGTCATGGCTCTTGCCAAGTGAAAGGACAAGGAAAGCAAACCACCTCAAAATTCTTTTATTTATTTATTTAAGAAAAAGTGTGGTTGCGTAGAAAATGGTACAATCATATTCGAAATTTCAAGCCTCATGTCTCTTAGAGAAAGAAAATATGAGAAAGAGGCACAAAGGGACTACAACAAATGCTGCAAGCTTTAACAAATCTTCAGTCTCCTTTGAAATCACTCCAATCCTTGACCAATCTCCACTATACCTTCACATTTAATTGTGCAGATTTTGCAAGTTAGAGTTGAGAGAGAGAGAGAGAGAGAGTAGATACTGGTAAAGTCTAAACACTACTATCTATTTAGATCAGAAAAAATAAAATAAAACAAAATAAAAATAAAATAGTAGAAGTAATTTCTAGGAGATTACCCGGCATCAATGAACCCCAATCCAAGTACTGTAACTGCAGACTGAGTAAGAATTGTGTTTGAAACTCTCAATGGAAAAATGGGTTCCTGTTTGTCCCTTGATTTCTCACCCAATTCTCTCTTTTGAGCTACTACTGTACTGCTTCTAAACTTTGTCCCATTTTTCTTCACAACCATGTGTGTAAGGATGTTGGAGATAACACTCCTTTCAGTGATCAGCATTTTCTTGTCCAAGTCCTTTCTTGCATATTTATTGGTGGCTATCATTACATACATATCAACAAAAAAAAAACTCAAGGTAAGGGCAAAAATGTCATTTAACAAAAAACACAAACTCTAAATTTTCTAACATTTGATGAGCAGTCAAGTAACAACCTAAAAGATAATTCTATTAGCACAACCAACTTTATCTTAGTATGCATGTTTGTATTATTTCGATATCAATTGTCCAAAAATAATATTAACTTCCAAACAAAATTATTTGTTTGAACATCGTATGGAATAAAGTTTTTATTTGAACAATTGAATTTTGTTTAAAATTGAAATTCAAACAATTAATTTTTATTTCAAAGTTAATATTCAAACAACATAAATGATTTATACTTGGAAAAAAATATGAGTTAGGAATAGAATTAGAGCAAAGATACAATTACCCAATTTTTACACAAATTTGTAGACTATCTCACATGGGTGTATAAGAGAGTTTGTAGAATTTTGTGTGGAAAACAAAAATGATTCATTTACATAATTTTTTCCCCCCAAATGTATTTTTGACTTGTAAGAAAATGATTATGACCTTTTTACCGGTCAGAAACATATTCGGGAAAAATACGGAAGGAAAAATTGTATGGATGTAGCATTGCCGGTATAAAAAATTGTATGGATGTAGCATTCATTCACTACAACAAAATTAAATTTTTACGGCTTGCAATGCATGCCGTAAGAACTCTTTCACGGCAAATGCCGTTATATGACATGCCGTGAAAAGTTGAGCATCATTTACGACATGCAGTTAAAGTTGTAAAAAGTAATAAATTAAACATTAATGACATATTTTGTATGCTGTATATTATTTTTTACGACATTTTTGTCATGTCATAAGTCATCTTACTTTCCATGGCATAATTTTACATGTCGTAGAAGGTTATTTTGAATATATTTATGGCATACTTTGCATGCCGTATATAATATTTTACTACATTTTCTTACATGTCATAAATCATCACACTTTTTACCACATAATTTTGTATGCTGTAGAAGGTCATTTTTAATATATTTATGACATACTTTGTATGCCGTATGTAATCTTTTACGGCATTTTCTTGCATGTCATAAATCATTGCACTTTTTATGACATAATTTTATATGTCGTAGAAGGTTATTTTTAAAATATAATATATATATACACGAATATAACCTTGCCTAACAATTTCAAGATTCAACAGTTAATAAGAAAATGGACATTCACAATAACAATCAGATCAGCAGATAATGTGGACTACATTTGCATAAGCAACATGAAATCTTAATAAGAATTTCACAAAACAATATGTTATGCTCTAGTAACAAAAATAAGCTGCTGCTGGTGGAGTAACATGATGCAAATGTAGTCATAAACATCAGGCTTTGACCTTTGATATAGGAAATGCAATACTAGAAAATATATCAATGCATTAATACATTAGTTGCAGAAACTGAGACAATGTAAAATATGTCCGGTCTAAACAATATGTTATGCAATGTAAAATATGGAACTGGAGATGATGTGGAAATGGAAGAGTTGCATGATGCTGATTCAAGTGCCGATGAACCAACTGAAGAAAGCACCAATAAATCAGACCCTGGGGTCATTGTTTTGGATGATTAAAACTAATACGAGTAATTTAAGGGCGTTACAATGCATTAATACATTAGTTGAAGAAACTGATGCAATGTAAAATATGTCCAGTCTAAACAATATGTTATGCAATGTAAAATATGGAACTGGAGATGATGTGGAAATGGAAGAGTTGCATGATGCTGATTCAAGTGCCGATGAACCAACTGAAGAAAGCACCAATAAATCAGACCCTGGGGTCATTGTTTTGGATGATTAAAACTAATACGAGTAAGGTTACTAGCTGAATTGCTAAACTTTTTTTTTCTTTTTCTTTATGATGATAGTGATTAGTCAGTTTCAATCTAATTAACTAGAAATGTTCTAGACTCCTAAAGTAGTGTTTTACAGCTGATTTTTTTTTAATAGAAACTTAGTTTCCTTCAATTTTTAATAGAGAAATCATACCTTCAATTTTTACAGCTGATTTTTTTTTAATAGAAACTTAGTTTCCTTCAATTTTTAATAGAGAAATCATACCTTCTGTGTTCTTGCCTTCCATCGCCAATTTGAAAGATTGCTAATTGAAGAAGTATTGTCTAGCCTAATTGAACTCGTCTTCTCTAGCCTAGTTACCTAATTGAATAAGTCTAGTCTAGCCTAATCTCTGGGACTTACCTGATCAGTTTCTGGAAAGAGTAATGCTAGGGATAAGAAACTCAAACAAAGAAAAATATGAAGAAAGACAAGTGTGGTTGAGATTCATTCAATGTGCAGGTTTCATCATACAGATATTAAATTTCCACAACTGACACTGCACTCAAGTAAATCACAAGTCACAAGTATAAACATTCATATTAGAAAGCCTATTCTCAATTTAACATAGCACAAATAGAATGATATTCCAGTTGGTGCAACAACAATATCACATCTTTAATTCCGTACAACCAATTACACGACCATTTCCTTCACTACTGGGTTGCAGAAATAGTTACCGCATCAAACCAAAACACCTAAGTTTTCATTGTGTAACAAAATTCATATAATCTACCTCACAAAATGACTCCAAAACATAATAATCATAATAAATTCTCATGTTCATCTGAAAAAATTAACTTCACACAAGATGGGAAAAAATATCCTAAAACTAATTCGTTAAAAGATTGCATCACAGCTAATAGTAAAGGAGAACTAGTCAAGCCCAATAAGCATTCGGTTATATGAAAATCAAATGTTCCTACTTCTCATTAATCATGCAACACTTCCACACCCTCACAATCCATCCTCACGTAGTGCTCATCTTCATCATTAGTATTTGCACCAAGTCTAGATGCATCTAAAGGTGCAGATGGCATAACCTATGACTAAACCAGTGGTGGTGATATACCCAAATGCTAATTGTGTGATGATGTTTCAAACCCAATTTGGTTAATCTCTGTTTCTGGATTTCCAACTGGGATAAATTGGCTTGAGTTGTTGACACGATATGAATTTTCATTTTAGTGAGTCTCAACAGTTTTTTTTCTCCCAATCTATCTGTCATTTCCATTATTGTCAAATAGCGAACCGAACCGTGAATCGTTATGCTACAATAGTGAATCATGAATCATAAGAGCACTTTATTTAATATCATGTAATATAATTTATGAAAAAATAATATATTCTCATACATGTATATATACATATAAAAATACACACAATGTTTAAAATAAAATGAATATCAATATAACTAAATTATATATACATGTCTATATAATTATGTTCATTAATATAATTAATTGATCTCTTTATTTCTTGATAGAGGGGTGAAACATCTTTTTGGTTGAAACTCGTATCAAAACGTATGAATCTAATCATGAATCACACAATTCTTACAGCCATGGTCCTTTCTGTTTAGAAGCCTTACATATTTCATATTATTACTTAAATTGATTTTTGTTGTTCCATGTACTTCTACATATTCAGGTGGTGGATTTGGTTAGAAGAGCAGTGCCCCTTGCCCTGACACCTGATGATGACCCCAGGAGGGATGAGCTAAAGAAGCTCCAGGAGAAGAAGGAAGAAATCGACATGCTGGCACATAAGCAGGTCCGGCGCACCCTCTGGTCAGGGCTAGGGTTGGCTATCATGCAGGTCGGGCTCTTCTTTCGTCTTACATTCTGGGAATTCTCATGGGATGTTATGGAGCCAATTGCATTTTTCACCACCACCACTGGCTTAGTCATAGGTTATGCCTACTTCCTGTTTACTTTGAGAGACCCAACTTACCAATGATGAAGATGAGCACCAAGCCTAGACTGCTTAATTGTCAATTGCATTCAAACTATAACTTATTGATTCTAAATATATGTATATATTTTCTGTGGTGTCCTATCAGGTTGATCTTCAAGCACAGGCAAGGACTCATAGGATTCTTAAAACCCATGAAATAGTGTGAACTTCAATATTACATAGTTGTAAATTCCTCAACAATAATTCATCATAACCAAAAACTTTCAAATATGTCTAGTTGTCACGCCCTCAAAATAATACAATAAAATCCATCATTTTAACATTGCCATGATGTATGAGAAAAAAATATCTTTTCTAATTAATCAGAGTGGCTCTTACAGGAATATTACAAGCTTACTAACCGAACAAATGCCTACGGGCTACAGCTTTCCATG